CTTCCCTCCTCCACCTCCGAAGTGCTGGGATTACAGGTGGGCACCACCACGCCTGTACATGGTGCTGAAGACTGAGCTCAGTACTTTGTGCAAACTGGATAATCACCCTACCAACTGGACTCTATACCCAGGTGGACAATAGTCTTGAAGGAATACCACAGATAATGTGACATGTAAGGACAGCAGCATTTGGAAGTGTTTCAGAAGGCCAATGAAAGCTCAGAGTGTGTCTGCCGGGTGGGGAGGAGAGGGCAGCACTTCTTGAAGCAGGCAGAATTTTAGTTTGGAATTAAGAATAGATTGGGTTTGGAGGAGCAAGCAAAGAGAAAGGCACACTGTGAGCAGGCATGTAGACGCTGGAGTTGAAGATATCAGTACAAAGGGCTTAAAGTGGCTGGCATGTAGTGCTTTAGATCTGTGTTGGTTAGAAGGGGTCTGGGCTTCATGGGACAAGGCAACGGAGAGCCTGGATGTGCAGTGATGCTTCTTGGGCAGCTGAGCAACTTTCAGTACCTCTGTGGTATGGCATCTGGTTCCATCACTGGATGGCAAGAGGTTGAAAGGGGACCCTGGCCAGAGGCTTTAGACAGAAGGCTAAGCAAGGTATAGGAACATCACTATGAATGTTCAAGGAGGGGAGAAGGAAGGCAAGATGGTTCCAGAATGTTTGCCTAGTAATAGAGGGGCATACCTCATATTTGAATTAACCACCTGTTCTACCTTAATGTTTCCCCGTCTTTCCTATTGAAACTTTCTCCTGCCCTCACAGCCATAAAATCTGCTAATAAAAACAGAACTTATTCTGCTATTGTCGCTTTCCTACCCAGACTATAGTACATAAACACCCACACCAGACAAACTCTCACTATAAAATGACCAGTCTTCAGAAAGTCATTAAAGACAAGCAAAACCACTTGAAGCTTTGCAACTTCCCCCTTGCCCACATCTGATTTTGTGATTAGCAGTGACACAGCAACTACTCCTACTGCCTGTCATAAACTGTACCCTCTATCTGCTTGTTATTGCCAGGAAGTGAGTTCATGATTAAGCTCAGGGGTTCAGTCATTTGAATTCACCGACTCTTAGCTTTCCTTTTGAGTTTAACCTTAGAGCAACAATATCCTGCATTTCCATTTATGATTGCCCTTTGCTGCTTAAATAGTGCTTTCATTAGTGTTATCTCATTTGAGCCTTTATTGAAAAAGAATCCCAGGAAGCAAGCCTGAGGTAAGGCTCTTGCTGTGTCATTTACCCACCAGAAAAAAATAACACTATGATTATTCAACATGAAAATATTAGAAACTATTACAGAGACCAAAACCTGTAATACATGGATCTTTTCTTTCTTTGTGTATGTATGTGTAGTGTGGGAAGAGTGCCGACAGTAGATGCCCTCTGCCATCAAGTTCGGAATTATCAAAATGCTACAGACTGCAAGGGACATGGTATAGGAATTAAGAACATAGACTCTGGGGCTACATGATGCTCACCTTTTAAAACCAACCAGCATGCTATAAAGAAGCCAAGCCATCATGCAGAAGCCACTTGTAGGTACTCTGATCTGCACTCCAGTTAAAGCCTCAGAGGGTAGCCAATACCACCCACAAGGCAGACATATGAGTGCAGGAACAGTTGGTATGTCTTCAGACAATTTCATTGGGACAGAAACAGAGATGTTCTGGCAAACACTGCCTGAATCTAGGACTCATAGGCAAAATAAATCTTAAATTTGAGGTAGTTCTGTGGAGGTGGAGCTCGGGGCTCATGTAATTTTCTCACAGTTTAGTCTATTAACAGGGACTGAGTCCTGTTAGGACTCATCAGTAGGAGATGGTGCTACTTGAAAGGCAGTTGAGCAGGTTTAACTAATGAGAGAATGCCTGGTGAAGACAGTTCAAGAGTGTTAATAAAATGTGAAACAGGGTTTGGGGCACAGAAGGACACACTGAAGAGCAGATCCATGACTTGGTCACACCTTCCTACTCCAACAAGGTTGAGGAATTTTTCCAGCTCCTCTGGAGAAGGAGCTAGATTGAACACATGCTAGGTCTTGTCAAGAAGATGGAAGACAAAATATTTCATGTTTCCTCTCAGTATCTTAATCCACCTACCATCTGTTCCCCTATCTTTCTATCTTCTATTTATCATCTGTCTTCCTACCTATAACCTTAAAGTAGAGGAAGATTATCTGGGGGTGGGGGGGAGGACAATGGTTGGCAAAGCACAATGATATATTATGAAGTTGTAATAATGAAACCCACTGTTTTGTATGCTAACTAAAATTTTTAATTAAAAATTTCAAGTGTGGCCGGGCGGTGGTGGCGTATGCCTTTAATCCCAGCACTCGGGAGGCAGAGGCAGGTGGATCTCTGTGAGTTCGAGACCAGCCTGGTCTACAAGCGCTAGTTCCAGGACAGCCTCCAAAGCCACAGAGAAACCCTGTCTCAAAAAAAAAAAAAATTCAAGTGTGTGTGTGTGTGTGTGTGTGTGTGTGTGTGTGTCTGCCTGTCTTATATGTGACATGTGCATGCAGGTTCCCTTGGAGACAAGAAAAGGGTGGTAGATCCTCTGGAACTGGAGTTACAGGTGTTGTGAACTTGCCTAATTCAGGTGTTGGGAACTGAACACAGACAGATCTTCTGCAAGAGCAGTAAGTGCTTGTCACCATTGAGCCATCTTTCTAGCCCCTTAGGTTGTTTGTTTGTTTTGTTTTTAAAGAATGAGGAAATGACCTTGTGGGTCTATGAAATCTGCAGAGAAATGTCTGAAACAGAACATTAATGGCAGCTATTAACATTTGTTTGGATGTTGGAAAGAAACCTTGAAGATTTTTTTTCTAGGTACAGAAACTAAGCCCAACACAGAACTGATTATAAACTGCACGAAGTATAATTGAATGTTACAGAAGAATTGAGTTTCAGGTTAGGTTTGATGAGAAGAATCCCAGTAGGTAATGTAATTAAATAGGATTTCCTGATAGACTAGAAAAACAAAAGCAGGATAAATACAAGCACAGGCTTCTTTCTGGGCCTGAGAATAGGGAAGGCCTTCTTACAAGTCAGACTACACCACCACACAGTGTGGTGGTGTAGTCTTCATTTTAGAGGTGAAATGACACACTGTATATGTAGCGTCGTCCTCATTGTTTTTCAGGTGATGACAAAACTATCTAATAAGACCCAATACTGGGGCTAGGCAGTTGCCTCCATGGGGAAGAGTGCTTGTGTGAAAGCAGGAAGACTGGAATTCAAAATCCTGGCAGCCATGTTAAAAAGCAGGGAATGGCCACACATGCCTGGAACCCCAGTGTTGAGGAGCAGAGACAAGAGGATCCCAGGAGCTTACTGGCCAGCTTAGCCAAAATGATGAACTTCAGGTTCAGTGTGGGAGACATTGCCTCAAAAAAATAAGGTAGAAAGCAATAGACCAGGATGACGGACATGTGTCCTCTTCTGATGTTCTCATAGACTTATACAGGTGTGTATGCCTGCACACATGTGTATAACACATGTACATACAGCACACGCATGCACTCACGCATGCACGCGCAAATGCACACACACACACACACACACACACACACACACACACACACAATGCAATGCTACAGATCTGGGCTGCAGTCTTCTGGGTGGCAATTTTGATGAAGGTCATGGAAGTTCCTAAAGACTCACCTTTCCTACTACCCCTCCCCCTCAGCCAACAGTGTGATTTATACCCACCCCCACACATCCTGCCCCCAAGGTGATTTCAGCAGCTAGGATAGAAAGGAAGATATTCACCAGAGTGAAATCAGACAGGTCAGACAGAGGCCTCTCTGGGGACTCCAGTTCAAGCTTTTCTGTTCCCTCTGGACCCACACTAGGGACAGTGTAGCAGAATCATGCAGAGGGGAAGACTCTTATTTGGAGAGTTAGTACCGCTTCTGCTCTGGCTGTCCAGAGTAGCTCATCTCAGACTGCAATAATATCCAACCCTGCTTTCTGAAGACGCTACTCAGTGCTACTTGCTTAGTTCAGAAGTTATACTAAGCATTTAATTGGCTTCAGATTACAAAGGAAAAATGAAGATAGGAATGTAGGATTAATTTTGACAGTCTTAATGATAAGGGATTCTGGGGTTGGGGGTGGGAGGATTAGTTGGTAGGCTATAAAATGAAGACAGGGTGGTCTAAAATGAAAAGAACACTCTAGACTATGCCACTAAGGCTGTGGATCAAGTCAAAGTCTTAAATGTGCCATGCAAATCAAGGGCTTCCCTCTTGAAGCCAGGCTCTTCTGCATCTCCTAAGTCCAGAAATTTGCAAATAATATGGGTGGATATATCCTTTAACTGGGACAATAGGACATCCAAAGGCCACCTGTACCATCTGTCTTCTGCCTTTGGGGAGGCATAAGCTGAAATCACCTTGTATGTGTTGAATGTCTCATATTTAAATTTTATTTCTCCAGGGGACCTCCTAGGACCACCTTGCAGTGGTCTCAAAGAAACAGTTCATCACTGTCAAGAAGATATTTGTGTACATTTTTATACTTCTATCTTGGAATCTTCATTTTTCATCCCTTTGGGAAGAGGAATGGAGACCATGATGTGAACTTACTGTTTTTTGTTTGTTTGTTTGTTTGTTTTGGTTTTTCGAGACAGGGTTTCTCTGTGTAGCTTTGGAGCCTATCCTGGCACTCGCTCTGGAGACCAGGCTGGCCTTGCACTCACAAAGATCCGCCTGCCTCTGCCTCCCGAGTGCTGGGATTAAAGGCGTGTGCCACCAACGCCCGGCGAACTTACTTGATTTATAAGTTGTAGGCAAGATGTCACATTGCACACCCCTACTAAGATTCATCTGTAACTTAGATGGCACCATGGAGACAGCTGGAGCATTATAATTGAATTGTTTGGTATCTAAGGGAGCTGAATTCATGACTTTACTTAAAACACACATACTGCATTAGACAGCGGTCATCCCCACTTCCTTAATGAATTGTTTTGTCCCTTCTTTCTAGGTCCTTGGATGTGGCTCTGTTGCCCAAGCAGTCCTCAGCAGAGGACATCTTGGTGGAATTGTCACTATCAATATTGGATTTGCATCAGCAGTTGTGATGGCTATTTATGTCACTGGCGGTGTCTCTGGTACGAAGTAGAAGTCATTATTACAGCTATCAATGCAACAGCCCCAATATGCTAGCATGGTTGGCCACTTTATGTACATTATTTATTGTGTATCCACAATCCTATAAAAATGTGTATTGATATATTTTTATAGATGATAAAATTTTTCTCTACATTTTTTATTAAATTAGAAACAAGATTGTCTTACATGTCAATCCCAGTTCCCTCTCCCTCCCTTCCTCCCCTGTCCCCCACTAATACCCTACTTATCCCATACCATTTCTGCGCCCCAGGGAGGGCGAGGCCTTCCATGGGGGGGGGGCTCTTCAGAGACTGTCATAGCCTTTGGGATAGGGCCTAGGCCCTCCCTGGTTTGTCTAGGTGAGGAAGTATCCCTCTAAGTGGAATGGGCTCCCAAAGTCCATTTCTAGATGATAAAATTTAAATACCAACAAATGGTGTCTTATGTAAAGGCAACATTGAACAAGGACCAGATGGGGTTAGCACTCAAGGATGCCTGAGCCATCCTTTGCTGCTGCAGTGTGTCCTCCAGTAATCAGTACTTCTTATTTTATGAATCTCATGTTTGGAAGCCATTTTCCAGATATGCTTTCGAATAGCTCAACAAAGGCCACACCAGCAGAGGCAAGTTCCTAGATCATTATCAGCCATAATCAGAGAAACTAGGTTTTATGCAACATCAACTCTGTCTTCATGACAGGAGTACCTGAGCTAGAAAATATTAAACTTGTTCTTCCCTGGTGGTCAGGCTGATTATGGCCACTTACAGGGTTCTGCAAAACAAAATGATGGGATGCTACTTGCTACTAAATGCAGTCTGGAAACTTAGGAAGAGACCCAGGGCGGGGATAGGTGTTCTGAGTCATGGAGCTACTGTTATGAATTGTAATGTAAATATCTGGCATGAAGGCATCTGGTTTGTGATCCCTGTGAAAGGGACCTTAAACCCTGAAGGGTTCTCAGCTCACAGGTTAAGAACCACTAGTTTGGAGTATTTTGCCTGCATGATATTCTGAGCTGAACACTGTCAAATAATCATACAGTACCAATGTCCCTCAGATTCTGTTGGTATAATTGGCCCATGCCACTGCAACTGTAGGTCATGGATCTTGGCATTCATTGTTGTATTTGGGGACTTGAGGAGTTATTGTAGAGGAGACATGTGGAAAGAAGCAGCAGGAAGGCTAAGAGGGAGCAGAAAGACGGCAAAGAGCTGTCCCCTCTGGCCTGGGTACTGAGGCTAAGTTCTCAGCAGTGAGAATCAAAAATGACTAGAGGTTGCATTTCCAGGTGAGGCTTTGGCTCTGACCAAGTGGTTTATGAGAAGCTGTGAGCAGACCCAAACCCAATGAAATGGTGGATGAGCCCAACCGGCCAATGAAAATGCTGAGCTGGAATGGGAGCACCTAGCATGCCCCTGTTTAGAACTAGCATAGTTGAGGCTCTGAGGACTGATGACTTGGAAACAAACAGGGACAACGCATGTGCTCTCTCTGACAGCTACACAGATCCACAGCATCAGTCTTGGCATCAGTGGCCGCAGGAATCAGAGAAGACAATTGTGTGGGAGATGTCTCTATCAAGATGTCTCTATTAGGCTGTACCTAACATGGTTTGTAGCCTCGTGGGAAGCCCTTTTTGAGGACTCCAAGAAAAACCAGTACATGCAGGACATGAATATAAATGTTATCACATTTTGTGTCCACAGACTGGTAAAGTCAGTGGCCTTTCACATTTAAATATAAAGAATCAATTTTCTATAAAGGAGTTTTAGCCTCCTGCTCCACTGTGAATGTGCCATTCAGCCAATCAGAGCTTATTGTTATACACACATGTAATATGCTACTCAAAGCATGTAGGCTGCCTGATGGTAACTATTTTTTAAAGTTAAAGTTTGTGTGTGTGTGTGTGTGTGTGTGTGTGTGTGTGTGTGTGTACATGTGCACATATGCCATAGAATACATATGGAGACCATAAGTTCTACCTTTTACCATATGGGTCTTAGGGATTGAATTCAGGTTGTTAGGCATCTCAGTGGATCCTGTTGGGAACTATTTTTGATGTAGCATTTTGTAAATGAGTAAATTGAAAAAGCAGAATAGCCTTGCTTAGTGACAGGAGAATTGTAAGCTATCTATCACAGAATTGTGTGAGGATGATAGGGAGTTTACCTAGAACAGAATCTTTGAAGAGTTCACTTAGCTCACCCAAGACCCACATCTTAGGCCTGCTGGACTCCAGCTGCTCCCCGAGGGGGTTCTTTATGTGAATAATACGGTCATCAAAGCAACCCTGGCAGCACCGATATATGAGTGCAGGACTCTCTGGCCCTAGCGCTCATGTTCTTTCCACTACACTGCTCTGGCCTTGGCCTTGCGGTAAGCTGCTCGGGTCTGTAGGGAGGAAGTTCTATAGCCCTCTGGACTGCAGCCATTGCTCCCCCTCCCATCCCGAACCTTCTGTCACCCCTTAGCCCCTTTCTCCTCATTAGTTTTCAAAGCTTCCATCCAGATCTACCCTCTCTGACTCCCAAGTAACTGTCCCTAGACTTCTTTCATGTGAATCATCTAAACAAATCCCTTTGATTATTTCATCAGCTTTCTTATCTAAAATGCATACGAAGTGGCTGACATCACATGAGATCTGAGGCTTATTAGGCTTCCAGGGTGCCTACAAAATGTAAATCTACCTGCGGGAATTTTTATCTTAGAAGAGAGCTTGTTTTAGAAACCTTACTGGGCAAGGCACTCCTGAGGGATGGTTTTGATCAGAGGCCCTCTTGTCCTTTCACAGTGAGTGCCTCCAGGCTGGCTGTCTCAGATCATATATTCTGCCCTATTAGAGGGGATTAGCCATGCATGCTATCCTACCTAGTCCCTTTGCTCATCTCCTCTAAGCTCAGAGACCCTCTTCTCTAGGCACAGACCTTCCTCCCCTCGAAAGTCTAGAAATGTAAGACATTTCATTTGTTCTGTGGGTTGCTGTTGGATCCTCTGGCCCTGCAAACCTGGCCTGCCCTCTGTTAACTAAAGGACTCTCCATGCAGCCACAGGCAGAAGAGGAACAAAAGCAGGCTGGCTCCAGGAATTTCCCATCAGTCCCCGTGTTTGTCCAAATCCCTCTTCCCAACCTTCCTTCTAAGCTGGCTTCTGGAGCCCATAAAAGCAAGACCCCACAGTTGGAGTGTCCATAAGGATCTGGGAGATCACTGATGCTTTGACATACAGGAATTTTCCTGCTCATATTCACTGCAATTGAATGGCAGGGGTGGCTGCCTTTGTGGGTTAGTAGCCAAAAACCCACTGTCAACTTTGGACAGGAGACTCGAAAAAAGCATGGCTCTCTTCATGGGGTATGGGCTTCCAGGACAGGCTTGACCATGGTCCTGATGAGGGCCAGGGTGCAGGGTTATCATCACCCTCATAATCACCATTACCATCAGGACTGTTGTCCTCTCTCTTGCTCACCTCTAATCTGAATGTCCACATTTCAATGTACTCGCTTTGAAAATGAATTTGATATGCCTCCCACATAAAAGGACATCCATGTTTTTCAGGTTCACCTTATGCCCTGCCACCAGGGCAAGCTCAAATGTGTGTATGTGTACACACACTTAATTTTCAAGGCAGATATATCTTACTTTGAGATTTATTTTTAATTATGTGTATTTGTGGAGGTGGTGGTGGTGGTGGCAAGTGCAGGTTCATGTAGAGTCCAGAAGAGGGCACTAGATCTGCTGAAGCTGAAGTTACAGATGGTTTTGAGAAACTTTGTGTGGGTGCTGGAAACCAAACGAGTCTTCTGCAAAAGCAGTAGGAGTTCTGTACCACCGAAATGCTCCCCAGACCTAAGGCAGAGAAATCCTTACAAACATGCTGCAGGAGGTCTAGAAGTGGGCTAATGGAACTTGGCTCTTAAATTCAGATAAAGCTGGACTTGAATTTTGGTTCCATCATTCATTGACCATGTAGCTTGGAGAAAGCTTCTCCTGTCTCTCAGTTTTCTTGCCAGTTAACTAGAGCAGAATCCATTCCATTAGGTTCTTAAGTCTAAATAATACCACAGTGTAAAAGGAGTTCTTAATTGGTCTAGATAATAAAAGGCTGGAGTCAGATATAGAGGGAAATGCTGAAAGATCAGAGAGAAGGAGCAAGCCACAGCACACACTACCCCAAGGTCTCAGCAGAAAAAGAGTGATTTCCTGTTTCTCCCTGCTTGTATCCTGTTTCTGCCCAGCTATGTCACTTCCTGTCTGTCTGTACAGACCTCCAGACCTCTATGGTTAGCTAGTGGCAAGCTCCATTCTCTGACCCCCAGACAGGCTTTATTTGTGTAAGAAAGATATCACCACACCACACTGGTGGTGTTGGGCCAACATGGGACCATCACTGAGCACAGAGCAAACCTTTTCTATGACCGTATGTGAAGCTGAGAATCAGGAAGCTGATTTCACTACCTACGGCTTAGGTTGGATTGAAGGAGTTGTTGCCACATTTCTGTGTGAGAGAACACACTGTTTACACAAAGGGACCTAGAGTGATCCATCAGACATGACAATCACCTCCAACAAAGCCCTTCTGCCTCAGGGACAGGCACAGGACATCCAGCAGGACAGCATCCCTTCCCAGTGTGAAGATGGCTTTACAGCCTCTGGGCATGTGCTGAAGAATTGTTAGATATGGACCCAAGCCTCAGTTGCCTTCAAAATATATTCACAGTAATAGTTTACATCAATCTACTTGTGGTATTCCTTAACTAATGGCTAAAAGTCTACTTTAAAAGTAAAACGAGCTGCTTGCTCACACCAAGTTTTTAATGTCCGAATTCCTTTCCGTGTTTCTGTTTCCCTCTCCCCACCCCCACTCTCTGGCCTCTTTCCCCTGACTTTCTCTTCTTCCTCGCAGGAGGCCACATCAACCCAGCTGTGTCTTTTGCAATGTGTGTCTTTGGAAGGATGGAGTGGTTCAAGTTCCCCTTTTATGTGGGAGCCCAGTTTTTAGGAGCCTTTGTGGGGGCTGCAACTGTCTTTGGCGTTTACTATGGTGAGTATTGACCCAGAGTCCAAAGACTTGGAGGGCTAGTGAGGCATCCGGTGCAAGCTTGAATTGCTAGGTAGAAAGCAGTGAGACTAAGCTCCAACAGGGGGAATAAATGACAAGAGGGCCATGTTATCAACTGGGCAATTATGAAGCCTTTTAATAAAATCTGCAAATCGGGGTTTCAATCTAAAGATGTTTATCCCTGTGGGGTTTTTGTTGTTTTTGTTTGTTTGCTTGTTTTTTGCCTGTGTACATGTCTGTGTACCACCTGTCTGATTATCACAGAGGCCAGAAGAAAGTATCAAATTCCCTGGAACTTGGAGTTACCAACCATAGTAAGATGCCATGTGGGTTCTGGGACTCACTCAGGCCCTCCCTGGAAGAACAGCTAGAGTTCTTAACTGCTGGGCCACCTCTCTAGACCCCAAAATATGACTCCTAAAGTGGGAGGGTACAACTTTTAAGAGCTTAATTTTGGGTCCACCCTGCATTGCAATGTGCTACAATATGAACATAGGCAAAAATGCCAGACTTGACTAGAAAAGAGGTCCTGCCTGGTCATGAAAGCTGTGGCCCAGGAAATATTTAGAGTAGGAATCTGGGAGCACAACTTCAAGGAAGAAGCACTGTCAAGAAGCAGGCTGGGTGGGGGCCTATGCCCCTTCTAGAGAACAGCTGAAGCATCTGCTCAGGCGCCGTCCACAGAGAAATGTGGTACTGGTGACCACAGGCCCAGGACCGAGCTAAGGTTGTGGCAGTCAGTAGCTCTGTGACTTAAATAAATCATCTGGGAGTGAAGCATGCTGCCACACTCCCGCAACCTGTAAGGAAGGATGGATGATGGGGAATCCAAAGTCATTCTCAGCAACAAAGCAAATTCAAGGCCAGCCTGGGTGACTTGAAACGTTGTCTCAGAATAAATAATAAATAAGAAAATATATAAGTCATCAGACTATGTAGGTCCCAGTTTCCTTCTCTGCAAAATGGAGGACTCCCAAAGTCCTTAAGGCTAAGGAATCTTAGAATTGTGTGGGACCAACTGTTAAAATAGTTCCTTGCATACAACCCAAGATGAGCCTCAGAGCATTCTGAATGGCAAACTGAAGACAGTGATAACCCAAACCCTAGGGAAACTGGTTGTACAAAGTGGTCTCTCCCCACAATGTCTCTCTGAGAATTAAATGTCTAAGGGAGATTTGAGATCAGACCAGAAACTCAGGGAGCCAGCAGCTCGGCAGAGAGGTGTAGGGTAGGTACCACCTGTATTCGTGGCAGCCAGTTTCCTGGCTCTGAGGGCTCTACAGGTCATCCATATACAGGTACCCATTATCCAGGTACACCTTCAAGTTCTGAAGTAAATTTTAGTGCACTAGAAAGCACTCTTCCACCGAGTCAAAGTCACACTTCGGTTTTAGATCAATCTTGAAAACTCCAAGAATTCTACCCATACCCCCAAAGAAAGTTGGTCTCCAAGACCCCTCTGACTAAGGACTGGGTCCAAGTTTAGACCTGTTCTACTTTGATTTCTGTTTCCGTGATAAAACACTCTGACCAAAAGCAGTATAGAAGAGGAGAGGGTTTATGTCACCCTCCGGATCATGGTCTATCAAGGAAGTCAAAGCAGGGATTCAAGCACAAACTTGAAATAGAAAACATGGAAGGTTGGTGCTTGCTGGCTTACTCACAGGCTCAGCCACACAGGGCTTTCTTATACAGCCTAGAGCCACCTCCTTGCTGAGTGGCTCCACCCACAGTGGGCTGGACCCATCGCCATTAATTAAGAAGCAAGGCAATCCCTCAGATACCTATCTACAAGCCAATCTAATCTGGACAATCTCCTAGTTGAGACTCCCTTTTCAGGTTATCCTAGGCTATGCCACAGTTTAATTAAAGCCAACCAGAACAGCCCCCCTCAGTCCTTCCCAGAAAGCACTAATGTCCCCGAGCTGTATCTTCCATAGATGGATTCATGGCCTTTGCTGATGGAAAATTGCTCATCGTGGGAGAAAATGCAACAGCGTTCATTTTTGCAACATACCCAGCTCCATTCATATCCCTGACAAATGCCTTTGTAGACCAAGTAAGTGAAGAGTCGACAAGGACCTGATTTTGGTGGAAAGACATGATAGAAAGTGGGGACAGGGATGGGGTATATGCCTGTCAGAAAGGAAGGGCTGTGTTTCCGAGACAGAAGTCCTTATATGAACTGAGCTTTCTTGACAATGATTTGCCCTTGAAGATGCTGATGCCAATAGAAGAGTTCTCTGCTTCCTTTTTAATACACATACTTGTTTCATATTAGTTGAGATCAAGACAAAGAGTGGCTGCCCAGACTAGAGGCAAATGAGGTTCATTTCACTTCCAGTGTCTCTTTTATGCTAAAGATAATAGCTGCAAGAGATGGCATCTCTAATTCCAAGGACTATAAAATATGGTGGTGAGCCTGGGGTGTCATGAACCTGCCCTATCTCTCCATGAGGCCTAGGTTTACCTGACTCTCAAGGGAGATAAGTGTCTAGACTAGATTAATATTTGAAGTAGCTTCTGCTGGAAGTAGTGTCACACGCTTATAGTCCCAGCATTTGGGAGGCAGAGGCATCACAAGTTTTGGGCTAGCCTGATCCACACAGGAAGTTCCAGATCAACCAGGGTTGCACAGTGAGAACCTATCACGAAGAGCCATGGCCGTACTGGTTGGTTTGTGAAAAGATTTCCATATCCTCACCATATTCTTTTCCACTTTGATCACAAAGTAAAGCAGGACACAAATGTTTATCAACAGCTCCCTGGTTGCTCCACACCATGTCTGGGGCTTGAAGGACTTGTAACTGAATGTGAACTGCAAAGTTGCAAGAACCAGAGTCTGAGTTCTTGAACTGGAATAACATTCCTGTCCCCAATGCTGTGAGTGACTTCAGCAAATTGCAGGACTTTTCTAAGTTTCTAATTATAAGAGCACTGGCTGCCCTTACAGAGGACCTACACTATTGCTCTTAACTATCAGCAAGTCCAGTTTCAGGTGATCTGATGCCATTCTGGACTCCACAGGCACTGCATATATGTGGCACACATATATTCATGCAGGGCAAACACACATGCACATAAAATAAACATAAATATACTTTTGCTTTTTTTTAACTTGTACCATGTAGATAAATATCAGCCTTTGTCGGGTTCATTGTAAGAGTTTAAAAAAATGAGAAAAAAAGTGCATGTGAACAGTGCCTGAACAGCATGACCACAGAAGAGCAAGGTAACAGCCAGACTCGATGAGAATGCCTATATTCCCAACATGCCCTCCTAGATTTTTTTAAAAAGAGCATTGTGAACAATAAATAGTAAACGAGGCTAATTTATCACATTAGTAACCTAGAGAAGGGAACTTACAAGTCCTAGAATTGTAGAGCGAATTTTAGTGAGAAAGACACAGCAATGAAGCTGCCTGCAGAAGGAATGCTGTTGTTGCCATGTGTAATAATGCATGCATGGGAGGCAAGTGAAGAACTGAGTTTCAGATTTGTTTCCAGGTGTCACACACAGCCAGGAGTATGCTTCTGTGAAGGGAAGCCAAAGGTCCTCTATTTCACACAGGCAGTGAGTGGAAGTCACTCTGGGTCTAGATAAGGTTTGGGGATAGTGTATGTGAGGAGGGACATGAGAGAATCCTTCAAGGAGCTCAAGGGCCATCAAGTGGAAAAACAGAATAGATTTGGTCCCTCATCCTTTATTCCAAAAAAAAAACTTGATGAAAGCACAAGTACATAATAGGTGATAAAAAAGTTTTTTTGAGGTCTGAGTCTGCATTTGTTATTCTTGAAGGTTTATTTTTGACTGGGCTCCAACTTAGAAGTAGAAGCTCTCAGCAAGGACAGCCTAGGCCTCTTGGCAATCTGTTTCTGGTGTTCTTTGGATGTCTTCATTCTCTTGGCCAACAGTTAGGCATAGTCTGCAGTCTCTTCCTTAGTTTTCTTGATGCATTGTTTCCTCGGAGCAATATGTCAGCATTTGTGACTCAGGACATATGGAGAAATGAGACACTGTATCTTGGGTGCTCTGGTCCTGGGCTTCTTCCCTTCTCTGTTTAATGGCTTTCTGACATTGGTTCAACATTGGTAAACAACATCTTCTTTAGATAAATGGAAAGCTTTAAGATTTTGCTAGCCCAATGGCCGAGGTGCAATAACATGTCATTACAGGAATATCCTTTTCTCCTTTTTGCATTTTTTGCAATAGCCAAGTTGAGAACACTCCAATTAGCATCTGCAGTGCATCCCAAACAGACTTCTGCTTCCTTGATCCAGTTTTCCTTGGTCTATAGTAAGGATGACCCTGACTCAACAGCAGGCCCACTGTGCTGCAGGTCAAGACACCTTGCTTCAAAGGAAAATCTCTTTTCTCATTCCTATCACATATCTCTTCCACTCTCTACCCAGAACACTGGCAGCAACTTCTGAAACCATGTGCTTCTCATAGGAAATACTACGTGCATTCTTCATCCCCTTCAATGAATGAGTTCCATGGCTGGGAAGGAGATAGTCAGCTTCCCCTTGACAGAACCCATCATCTGGGAGGCATCACAAAAAAAAAAAAAAGAGCCTCAAAATTTTGTTTGCAGCAGTAGGGATTGAACCTGGAGCATTGGACGTGGAAGGCAGGCTTTCCATCACTGAGCCCCAAACAATATGAATTAATGATGGCTGAGTCTATAAAAGAGTGAAATTATAATTATGCTGAGTTACATCCCATAAAAAGAGGACTTCAAAAAATTTCTCCCGCACTAAATAAAGACTTTGTCTCCCGAGGACAGCAGTCACTGGAGGTAGTTGTTGGGAGGCCAGTCTGGTGGCCTCTTAATAGTAGACTATAGGAACTGTGGGAATGATGAACTCTGGATGGTGGGCAGCTTGGGACACAATACCTCTCGGAGTCTTTCCACTTATGATACTAGACGAGCTGATTGGAAACAGAAGTTTAACAAGTAGGGAAAACTGGAGCTGTCTGAAGAGAAGGGGGTCACAGGAGGTTTATTTAGATAGCAGTATGCAAACAGGCATGGGGAGAGACAAGGTAGAGTACATTGCTGAAGGCATGATGTGGTCCAGGGTGGGGTCCTTACGTCTGTGACATCAGCTACTATACAGAGAGTGAGATGGACAAAATTAACCCTCCTAGCTTCCATAGACTAGGAGTCTGTTGCTGCAGCTCCATCTGGACGCCCTCAGATGGTGGAAACTGTTAAGCATGAAGCACCAACAAAAACCCAGAGCAATTAGCCATTTATCTGCTGAGCTAAGAAGGCAACCGGGGTATCTAGGAATAGACTTTGGGGATGGGTAAAACCTTCAGGGTTTCTGGAAGCTGGCTTGCCTCTCCATCCAGTTGAATGTATCTTCTAAAGAAGATCAGAATCAAACAGAGCTCTCGAGGGACATTCCTGGAACTCTCCTGTGAATGTGGACCTATCCCATTGCAAGCAAGAGAGGAAGAATACTGGCCTTCCAGGCTTGGACTTGCACTGGAACTGCCTTTCTTGTTCCTTGTTCTTTCTGCCCAGTGTCGAGTTCTCCCAGCTATTCTGAGAATATGAGGGACAAAGTTGACCTCCGGCCCCAGAGACTTTGGTGCCACATTCACCCTTCTTCACTGAGTCCTGGAATGACACTGTCCTGCTTCTCACAGACACATCCTTCCTCCCTTCCCTCACTGGTCCCAGAGACATCCCTGACACGGCACCACATGGCAAGACAGCGGCACAAGCCTCTCTAAAAACTCACTCTGCTGGGGAGGCCAAGTCATGCTGCCCGTCTGCTGACTTCCTGTTTGTCCTTGTGCAAGTAACTCAGAGCTTTTTCAGGTCTTGGCTTAGCCTTCTTCTGGTAAATGGCATGAAAAATACCCAACACACCACAGCAGTTCCCCATACTTACTGGACAACCAATAGCAGCAACATTTCTACCTAGTCCAGCTCGCATTCCTCTCTACTTCCTTTTCTCTTCTGTTCTGATGGACTCTTGTAGAATGCCACATATTCTCCCTGTTCGAGCCTTAAGATGTTTTGCTGTGTGCCTTAGAAAATTGCTCGGCATCTGGCCAGTAGAGGTCTGTCTTCACCCACACTTTCTTCACCGCATCCTTATCTCAAAGTGAGCTGCCATTTCCTCCAGGAACTCTAGAGTTTAAGCAGTGCACGGCTCAATAGAGAGAATAAATATTAGAAATCCCCGAAGGCTCCCTGCCGTCTTATGTCTTTAGAAAGCCTAAGAAAGTGCCAATATTCAGTCAGTCAACACCCAAGAGAGATGCTGGCCACCAGGTCCCTCCTTTGGGGCCACTTCATTTCAGTAGCGTTAGTTGTTGAACTCTGACTATATTCAAGCTTTTTCCCCCCAAGTACTTCTGCCAGCCAATACGTATTTGTTAGACACCTGTGGTTCCAACCTGCTCTTTCTTTAACGTCAGGGTCAGAGGTTCCACTGATATATAAACAGGTGGTTCAAGGTGACAAGGCCAGAGATAAGAAATCAAGTTGAAGCACAAGGACAGCCCAGGGTTCCACTCTGCCAGAGATGGTCAGGAAGGGCACTGCAGACGCCAGGATCTCTGGAGAAGATGTCTTTCAAAGTACAAGTTCTTTAACTCTATTTTTGGAAAGCTCATGACGCACTGAAGGGATTAAAGTATAAAATCACCTGCCTTATTCCTAACCTGCCTCTTCTATATGCCCTAGAGCACATGCCTCAACCTCTGCCTACCTAAGTCCCCTCATCTGTAAGGAGAAGAGCTGGGTTTACCTCACAGGGACCTTTACAACTTTTCATTGAGATGAAGCACAGGATGGAGCATGAGTGAGATGGACATGCTATGCACCTCAGAAAGTTAAAATGCGTTGTGTGACAGACAATACCTATGTACCAACTCACAGCTGTCATCTAGGCTGCAAAGCAAACGACTGATTAAAAGTTTAGAATATGGAGAGAGCAGAAAAAATCCCACCACTTGAGAGTGTCTGTTAACGTTTTTATATAGACATTCATGCATTTTAAAATAAAAAGTGCATTTACAATATTTAATTTCTCACTCAATGATATAAGCATTTAAAAATGTTACCACAGGCCAGGCAGGGTTGGTTCATGTAATGTGAGCTTTCTGGTCCGGCAGGTCCCACCACCCTTCTCAACCCCAAAGAAACACATGAACATAAAGGTGTTGGCCGTTGGCTAAGGTTTCTTATTGCCTAGTCCTGACTTAATTATTAACCCATTTCTATTAATCTATGCATTTCCATGTGGTCTTATCTTACTGGGGTATGCCAGACCTGCAACTCCTTTGCCTGCTACATGATGACTGCTTAGCATCTCTGCAGAGAAGAGAACAATTTCCTGTTTGTCCCTGCATATATCCTGATTCTTCCCAGCTACATCACTTCCTGTCTGGCCAATCCGCCAATCAGTGTTTTATTCGTTAACCAATAAGAGAAACATATACACAGAAGAACATCCCCCATCAGGTGCAGGCCTTTAATCCCAGCACTAGGGAGGCAGAGGCAGGTGGATCTCTGTGAGTTTGAGATTAGCCTCGTCTTCAAGAGCTAGTTCCAGGACAGGCTCCAAAGCTACACAGAGAAACTCTGTCTTGAAAAACCAAAACCAAAAAAAAAAAAAAAAAAGTTACCACATAGTTTTATTTATAGTTCTTTAAAAAAACGTTTTATATATATTTAGTGTGTATGTGTATATGCACATATGTGCATGCCATAGCACAATGCAGAGGCCAGAGGACAACTTTTGGGTGTTGGTTCTCTCCTTCAACCATGTGGGCTCAGGAGATTGGATTTAGGTCGTCAAGTTTGGCAGCAAACACCTTTGTCCATTGAGCCATCCCACTGGTGCTGTTTACACAGATCTTAGTGTCCCTATAGTAAGTTATGGGATAGACATCCTGTAATACAGTTCCCTCCTCCATTATAAATGCTTGCTTAAATGGCTTCCAGTTTCCTGCATGACAAACCATGCTTAAGTAAATGCATATATTTTAAAATAATTTTCCATAGTTTAGATTATGTCTAAATGGTATGGTATGAATCTGACCTATTGAACTGTATACATGAACTTGGGTTTTTAAATGCATTTGATAAGTTATTGCAGATTTCCTTTCAAGAACCTGGCATGTGTTAAGTTGCACTAGAAAACCCCAGAGGAGAATGGGTTTTCTCTAACTTTGCTACTGTTTGCATTTCTTTTGTTACAAAGCAGATTTTCCCACTTATTTCATCAGCCTGATTTTCCCAATAAGAAATTTCTCTACATTCCCTTTGCGTGTTCATCTATTGCTTTCTCGCTTTCTCTCTTTATGTCCAGTCTGAGCCAGCCCTCCTTCACTTTCTAATCTGGCCACTTGTCTCCCAGTGTTGCTGACCAGCATCCTAGCAGACAGTGTGATAGGACCAGCGTCTTCCGGAGGTGGACCAACTGTGTGACCCTTAGCAGGCACCCAATTTGCAATGGATGAGTCTGTCACCACCTGCTTCTAGTGTGTCTGTGGACAAGCCACACTCTCTTCCACTATGTTAGCTGTCACCAGTTTCATTATTTTAGGTGGATGAGTTTTGCTTCTGTATCTCTCTGTGCACCATGTGCTTGCACTGCCTGTGGAGGTCAGAAGAGGGTATCAGATTCCCTGGAACTGAAGTCACAGATGGTTGGGAGCCGCTATGTGGGTGGGTGCTGAGAACTGAATCCGCGTCCCCTGCAAGAGCAGCAAGTGCTCTTACTTGTGCTGACTCTTGGTGTCAGGCCTGGCTGTTCTCATGTCCTAACAGAAGAGGTTACTTTGGGTGAGCGGGTGGACAGAGCAGACTGAACTCTGAAACATTTTCTCCCTCTCCAGGTGCTGTCTACCATGTTCCTCCTTCTGATTGTCTTTGCCATTTTTGACTCCAGAAACATGGGGGTCCCCAGGGGCTTAGAGCCCGTTGTCATTGGCCTCCTGATCATCGCCCTTTCTTGTTCTCTGGGCCTCAACACTGGCTGTGCCATGAACCCCGCTCGAGACCTGAGCCCCAGATTCTTCACTGCTCTGGCGGGATGGGGGTTTGAGGTCTTCACGTAAGTACCGATGGTGGGGAGGAGAGAAAAGGGTGGCTGCTGGGCTTCAGCAGAGAGGACTGAGCCCTGGCTGGGAGACGCAGGAGCATATGGACCAGAGAGCAGAGGCTAAGGATGCTCTGGTTAAACATGAACTATTTTTATTATATAACTTGTCTATAGATTGGCTTTGTGACCAGGTCCAGGCTAGAATTGATGCCTGTTGCTGCCAAGGGCCTTGTGAGTCCCTCATTCTCTTGGCAGAGCTTTATTGGGCATTAGATATGCAGAATTCACTGTGATAGAGGACATTTCCAAATCACCCCCCACACTAGGAAGTTTGGCATGTTTAGAAGACCTACTGATCAAAATTAATCTGGCATACCATATAAGACGAACTGGAAAGGGAGAGAGTAGAAGGATAGAATCCGTGCCAAAAGGCATGGCTACATGTGCCTGTAATTCCAGAGCTGGGATGGAGGGGTGGAAACAACAGGCAGATCCTGAGGGTTCAGTGGCCAGCCAGCCCAGCTGAAAGGAGAGCTTCCACTTCAATGAGAGACCCTGTTTCAGTTCAATAAAGCAGAGGGAGACTATACAGGTGTACCTAATATGGGCCCCAGATGTGCACACATGAGCATTCATGTCCCGCCCCACATTCCTGTGGCAGTCCTAGGAGCACAGAGTAAATGATGGCTGTCCTGTGTGTGTGTGCTGAGACAGGACCTTGCAGGCAATCACACCTGAGCACCTCCACTTGGGACTTGGGTTTCTGGCACAATGGGTCCAGCTTTAGATAAAACAGTCAGGGTCCAGCTTGTGACAGGGAGATGCTCCAAAAAATGAAACTGTGGAGCAACTAAAATGGCTGCTACAGGGACAACACACTCAACTCCAGCCAAGGCTTTCCAGAAAGGGTTTTAAACCCAGAGGAGAAAGCAGCCACCCTTTGCCAGCCTCTAGCGGCAGAGTGCATCCGGATTTTGGGTTTGAAGGTGTGGAAAAGGACCATGGGAGGACCAGTCCAGCAACCTCTTGCACAGAGTTAGAGTGACATCTGGTGGCTGCTTTGCTGAGTCTTGGTACTCTTTCACCCAACCTATGCAGTGTCCCTCCCTGGGAATGAAGAAATTGGAGTTCAGAGACGGTACTTCCTCAGGGACCTTCTAGATTGCCCTCAATTCCGACCATGAATTCAAGGAAGCATACATTTTTAAATGTATTACACTTCATTGGGGGGTGTATAGGGTGGATGGGACACACACACCACCATGTACATGTGGAGGCCCTAAGACTGCTTGCAAGAACTGATTCTCTCCTTTCAACATGTGAGTTCTGGGGATTGAACTCAGGGTATCAGGCTTGGCAGCAAGCTTTTTTACCCACTGAGCCATCTCACTTGCCCAAGTGCCATGTTTTCTCGAAGGAAGATAAACAGTGTACAATCAGTCATTAGGACACTGGAGTGAGCCCCTGATATCAGGTACACTGGAGAGTCCAGGGTGGCAATGGCCATGATGGTGTGAATGTGCTTATACTTGACACTCTTCAAGTTCAAGAGCGGTGTGGACACGAGAAAGAGTCACCAGTGAGCAGCAAAGGCAGAGATACCAAGGTGGCCAAGAAATGTCTCACCATTTCCTGTTTGCTTTCAGAGTTGGAAATAACTTCTGGTGGATTCCGGTTGTGGGGCCTATGGTTGGCGCTTTTTTTGGAGGCCTCTTCTACATTCTTTTTATCCAAATGCATCATTCATCCCCCAACTCAGAAGTGAATGCAGAGCCATCAGAGAACAAGCTGGAGAAATGTGAACTCAGTGTCATCATGTAGTGTTGTGACTGGGTCTAGATTTACTATTCATTTACTATTCTCTCTTCAGAAAAGATGGCATCTGTGTGGTATGCTGTGGTAAGAATTGGGGTGGGTGGGGGGAGTCTACTCAATTTTCCCTAGCCATTTGGGACAAGCAATCTCAAAGGCAGTCATGAAAAACTCCACCAGTCACCCCTCCCAAGAACAGCACTGACTGGCAGCGATCTCTCCTGCCCAGTTACTGCATCTTTGATGGAAATCCTTACTCCCAGGTGATTGCCAAAAATTTGGAAGCTTGACCATGGACTTGGCTGGATGGCCTCAGAGACCTGATTACCCTGTATGAAATAGTGTTGCTGAAGACTCGGTCTTCATGATCTACAAATACAACGTTCTGAAACTGATAGGCCTAATGGCGGCTGCGCTTAACACCTATGAAATGGGGAGCAAAGGGTTAACACTCCACTGAGCTGAGGGCTGTCTCTGCAAAGATGCTGATGCTCTCTCAACTTGTGGCTGTAGAAAACAGGAGATGGCAGATGGAAAGAGCGCTTGGCATTTAGAAACCTCAGGACACAAGATAAATCTGGGAAACTGAATGGCTTTAAAAAAAATGGAAACCATTTGTCAGATTAATCTCTTGCTCTTCTGCATTTTAGATGGTATCAATTAATTTCCAGGTCCTTAAGTGTATAATAACCTAAAATATGATTGTAACCTTGGTTGTGAAAAATATATCACTCTGTCTTTTTAGCACAAATGTGTTTTCCTAATGGCTCATTTGAGGACAGACCTCTTGAGTAGTCTGTGGTTGCACTCATCCATGCCCCTAGAAGCCCAAACTAAAAGCTACTGGAAGCTGGCTGGGCAGACTGAAGTTGAGGGTAGAAAAAGTCTCTGGGATGAACACATGAGAGACAGACTTTATCACTGACAAAGTGATGGTTTAAGGTAAATAATCATAGCAGCCATTTTTCAAATGAAATAAGCCAGTTGCCCTTTATTTTGCCTTCTGCCTTCCAGAAGCTTGCTAGCTGACTGAGGGTCTTAGGCATCCTGCTCAGGCTTATGTGAAAGGGGGCATGAGCAGTTTCCATAACCCCATGTGCTTTGTAGAAATACCACTTCTGGATCTTAGGGTGTGAGATCTCCAGAGCCACATTGTCTGGTTTTATTCCCACTCTTATTGAGGCATTGATGAAGGAAGGAGGCAGCCATCTGATAATTTTCATTTGTAGAGAACTTCTCAGAGGTCTTTCTTCCTTAGCCACTCCTGCTTGCCTTCCCTGCCAGCCCTCCTCAGCCTCTCGGAGAGTTTCTAATGCTATTTTCAGCCAGAATGAGAATTGCTCTACCTCAGGGGACATACCTTTATCCCACCTGTTTAAAGCCCAGCCTTCCTAGAGAGAGCAAGTTTCCCAGGTGCTTTGCAAGGACAACAGAACAAGAAATGAATGAGACATGTCTTTAACACCCTGTGCTGTGCAACCTGTGGGCATATGGATTTATTTTCTAACTCTAAAATTACCTGGATATTTTTTAGTTTAAATACATAGGGGATATTATTGTGGTTAGGGTTTTGTTTAGTTTAGTTTAGGTTTTTTTTTCCATTTGATGGTCACCAAACATCCTTAGTTCAGAGGTTGTCGATACTATCTAGGAACTTAATTGGGGGGGGGATTTTAGAAAATATTAATGTCCAGTTAGTTCTTTGTAAATAGATTAGGTGATTCAAGCATCCATCAAGGACTAGAAACATGGATTGGATCGAATCCTATGGGCCTAAGTTTTCCTTGAAAGCCAAATATAGTTGTCATGATGGGCTCGTTGGCGTTGTTCTCAGTGCCTTCGGTTCCTGGTGGATTACAGCATGGTTCTCAGTAGTGGCAGTTTTGCTTTCACCCTCTCCCTGCACTCAGAACATCTGGAAATATCTGGAGACATTGATGGTTGTCACACTAGGAATAAGGGAAAGAGTTGATGTCTAGAGACACTGCCACGGCAAGGTGGTATAAAACCCATATCAGTCACCAGGCTGAGAGACCCTGGAGTTTCTGAAGGGTGAGGAGAGAATCCGGAGACTGAGGCCCTATGCCCTGGATTCAAGTTCTGTAGAGAGCAGAGATGTCAAACAAGCCAGAACAGACCCGCATGGTAGATTTTAATTCTTAGAGCAGGAGGCAATTCAAAATTTGAGTTTTGGGGGAGTAGATTGGGCAATAGATGATCCATTCAGGTACCACTGGTACTCATTAAGTACCACTGGATGATCAATAATCAAGATTATGAAGAGGAAGTGTGCAGTTTTGGAAGTCCGCCCTAGGAAGGATATCTTCATAGAAAAAGCTCCCTTGTTCTATACTCAGATCCATTCCTGTCCCAGATCTACAGCGAGGAGGTTTGCCTCTGTTGGATTCTTCACCAAGAGAGTGTCTATGTAAAGTTTTCTTGGTCTGTGCCAGCAGTCACTAGCAGAGCCAAGGCTCTCCTTTGAAAAGAACTCCTTTAGGAATTACAGTTGCAACATTCCTTCCAGCCTCCCTTGTCAGTTGAAAAGGTTCCTAGGAGCATTTATCTTAATGTCAAAACCAGAATTTTCTGTGATTTCCCTGGCCAGTTGAGTCTCAGAGCATGGTTCTACCCACCAAATACCTCAGCAATTATTTAGTTGTTGGACAGGATAAGTGAAGCTAAAAATATTTTTTAATTTAATCCTTAAGACATAAATTACAATTTAAGTTGCTCTCACACGTGTATTCATACATAAGGTATATTAGCATTCAGCAATATCATCATGGGAAAAGAATTGGAATCTCTGATTACAGATAATGGTTTATAAGCTTTGTTTAGCCATAAAAATGATTGTTCAAATAAAATCTTGTGTTGTATCCACAAATGAAGTGGGGTTGGGAGAAGGGCTAAGGAGCTTTTTTTTTTCCCCAAGAATGGCTCTTTGGGGGGGAGGGGGGCATCTTCAGAACACTGCATCATGGTTTAAACACCTTTGTCAAAACATCTTAATGAAAGTTTGAAGAACAGAAACTGGCTCCATTAACTGAATCTTGGCCATCTTCCATGGCCTTCTTAAGAAATGAATTTGGGCAAACAGAATTCTCCACCCCACCCCCACCCCTCCACCCCCAAAACATCACAGTGAGATGTTGTATGTCAATTCTCAAACTGAGAACCTAAATTCTCCAGTGTAACAAGTTGACTAGTTATAGCCCATGGGCATAAATTACGATAGCTCTAGTCAGGGTTACTGTGTGGACCCTCTAGGTCTGCATAAAAATAAAAGACAGCCAATGAAAGATTCCTGCAGATAGACAGACAACCAAACACGAGGCCTAACCTCTTCTATCATGAGTGTAGAGAAGACGCCTCTGCTGTCATAGAGGGCACACACCAAGTGAACATGAATGAACTTCGGTTGTCTGGAGGATCCACCACGCTATGAGTGGGCACACAATCTGGCACTCTCAAGGGCTACATTTTGTTTTGCCTTGATGAGTTTCACCCCCCCACACACACACAAAAGAAACAAAATAAATGTTGAAGACTGTTAGTGGCATGATGGATTATATTCTTTATCCACATATGATTTTAGGGAAGATTAAAACATTTTATTGTATCCTAAAGATCATCGTGGGGGAGGAGCTGGAGAGATGGCTCAGTAGTCAAGAATGCCTGCTGCTCTTTTTTAAATATTTATTTTATTATGTATATAGTATTCTGTCTGTATGTATCCCTGCAGGCCAGAAGAGGGCACCAGATCTCATTACGAATGGTTGTGAGCCATCATGTGGTTGCTGGGAATTGAACTCAAGACCTCTGAGCCTTCTCTCCAGCCCAAAGAGTGAGATTGTCGGGAGTGGGATTCGAACCCATGCCTCCAGTGGAGACTGCGACCTGAACGCAGCACCTTAGACGGATCGGCCATCCTGATGGCGGGCCTGTTGCTATTTTGGAGGCCAGAAGTTCTGTTTCCACCATGTAAATCAGCGCAGAGGAAACTAACGCTCTCTTCTGGCCCCCACAGACATCTGCATGAATGGACAAAGACAAGCACAAAAAGCTAAAAAGAGTCATGAGCACTAGGCATTGAGCCTGATGAAGACTAAGGTGCTGGTGTGGCCTCTTCCTTCCTTCCTAGTCTAGCACCCCTGGCAGCCCTAGCCTGATTACAGGGCAGTTCCTCTCAATGCTATGCTTGCTGGAGTAAGAGGGTGGGGACATCTTTGGATTTCTGGAGGTAGAAGGACACTTCAGAGTCCAGGCCCTCAGCCACAGTGATACTCATGGCATGGCCTCCCATCAGGGTTCCAGCAGCAAATGAGTGTGTAAAGACAGCAGGGAAGTCCCAACTCATTAGGGAGGCTGTAATGTGTATTAGTCACTTTGTGTTGCTATGATGAAATTCCTGTCATAAGCAATTTAAGAGTGTATTTTGGTTCACAGTTGAGGGGATGCAGTCCATTGTAGTGAAGCGGGCATAGCTGCAGGAGCATGAGGTAGCTGGTCATGTTGCATCCACAATTGAGAAGCAAAGTGTGGTGAATGTCGGTGCTCAGCCTGCTTTCTCCTTTTCAGTCTGAGCATTGTGCTCATAGAAGAAAGCCGCTCACATTTAGGGTGGGTCTTTCTACCTCAACCTAATCTAGAAACTGCCTCAAGGCTATGTCTGCAGATTTGTCTCCTAGGTAATTGTAGGCCCTGTCAACTTGACAGTCGATATCAACCACCACACTAGCATGAATGAATGAATGAGTGTGTGTGTGTGTGTGTGTGTGTGTGTGTGTGTGTGTGTGTGTGTGTGTGTGTGTGTGTGTACTCATGAAGGCCAGAAGAGGGTGTTATATTTCTGGAGATGGAGTTACAGGCAATTGCAAGTCACCTGCCATGGATGCTGAGACCCAAACTGTGGTCTTAGCCACTGACCTCTCTCTCTATCCAGCACTCATACTGTCTTTAATAATTATTGCTACAACAAGAAATCCATACTCCATAAAATGCTTAAA